TGTGGCCTAAATAAGCTAAACCCCCCTCCCTTACCTTATTTAGGCCACAGTCCACTGTGGCCTAAATAAGCTAAACCCCCCTCCCTTACCTTATTTAGGCCACAGTCCACTGTGGCCTAAATAAGCTAAACCCCCCTCCCTTACCTTATTTAGGCCATATGTGGCCTAAATAAGCACTCCCTTAGAGTTTAGACATCCATATACAATGTATATTTCCGAGGATGATGAATGCTGTTCTTGCCTTTTGGATTCTGACCTTGATGTCTTCGTCTGTTCCCCCTGCCTTGTTGATGACACTTCCCTGGTAGGTGAAGGATTCAACATCCACCAATGGTCCCCCTTGCAGTGTGATAGGAGTATCGGCTGCATTCATTTGAAGAACTTTCGTTATATCCGTGTGAATATGGAGTCCAACACTACGGGAGAAGGAGAAGGTCCTGAGGCGATCTGTCTTCTGTTGCATCTGGGCTCGACTGTGAGAAAGAAGTGCCAAGTCGTCGGCAAAGTCCAAGTCTTACAACTGACTGGAAAGGGTCCACTGTATGCCACCGCGTTTTCCCAATGTTGTCTGTCTCATTCACATTATCCAATCCACTGCTAAAAAAAAAGAGAAAAGGCGATAGCAGACATCCTTGTCTCACTCCTGTTTTCACTTAAGACGAGTATGTCCGCTGCCCTCCAAGTAAGACACTGCAGCTCATTCCCTCATACATCTTCTTGATCAATCTCACGAACTTGTCAGGTATTCCGTATTCAGGGCACACAGCATTTCTCTTTAGTTTTGTTCTCACCAGCTAATTTCAGAATCTAAAAAAACTTTAAAAACGCTGCACTTTCTGTTGGAACTGCCCAACACAAAAATGCCAATTGATATATACCCTTTCGCTTTTCACCGTAGTAGTCCCAACCCCCTTACAACCTACCTCCACCCCTGTTTTCACCTTAGCCCCCACCCTCCCCTCTTTTTCTGTCCCTGTGGTTTTATGCACCCCGCATAATTTAGCAAAATTTGATCACTTTTTGCATAATTTCTGAATATTTTCCTTTATCATTCTTTGTTAAAATTACCAGCATTCTTAAAAAACAAAACCCAGAATCGCATAATTTCACATCTTTGGGCACAGTTTAGCCTATTCCCATTCCCCCCTTCTTTCACCATAGTCCACTTCCGTTCACCTTTGCCCACCTTCGTTCCCCCTAACAACTCCCCGCCCT